GGGGCGGGCGGGGGAGGAGACGGTCGGCACCGCCGTGGACCAGTGCGCCGTCACGAGGACGATGGCCCGCGGGGCGGATGGCGTGCCCAGGCCGAGGATCTTGGGCACGCGGTTCTTTAGGGAGTAGACGATGGATTCGTGGTTCTTGTCGCCCAGGATGGGGAGGGGACCTGTGATGTTTCAGCTGGGTTTGTGCCTTTGGTGGTTGCGTGGAGAATGCTGTTTTTCTGTACCTCCCCCGTGCGAGAGCGCAATGACGGGCGCAACGGGCATTATAGTGGCAGTCAGTCTGCTCGCGGAAATCATAGACGTATTGACGGAGTGGGATAAAGCGACGAAAGAAACGGATTGGGAGATTCTCGTCATTCCGGCTGTCGTCAAGTTTATATATACCCCCCCCCCAATCCCCCCCGGTCGGAATCATCCCATGGTTCCGAGTTATCAATCAGTAGTTTCGGTACAGTTCTGGACCCTGTGGCGCAACAGCAATTAGCAATGACAGCATTTCGCGCATCGTGGATGGCACTCTGGTAATCTGCCGCGCGGGGAGGTCCACCACATCACGCCTGTTTATTTGTCAGCGCCTCGATTCCGCCAGGCCACCACGTGGAGATCGACATGCGAGTTGTAGCTGTGGCGTATGACTTGAACCCCTCGGTTCTTCCCCTCTGCGGCTGTGAGATGTGCTAAAGACGTCTTGGACATGCTTGATGAATCGACTACGGCTATACAAACACCGAGACCCTGCCGTTGCCGGCCGCCACCGCTCTTACCCTCGATCCAATCTCCAATGGGCTGCCCTCGCTAATCATGAAGTGGCCCTTGTCCTCCTCCTCGTCCACCCTCAAGCCCAGGACCTTGTATATATTCCGACTCACCAAGTCCAGTGCCGACTTCTCCGTAAATCTCCCATTGCCGTTTCGATATGCGGTGCCTGCTTCAAAGCCCAGGTCGCGCACGTACCAGTCCTCCGGCAAGCCCACGGCAACCGTGACGCCCGCCGTCACGAGCCAATCCGCCGCAGTTCCATTGGTGAGCGGTGCGCCGGAGAGCGCGCGTCTCTGATCCCACGTCAGGGGCATGGGCTGCAGAGGCTGGAGGATGACGCCGACAGACGCCGCTGCCAGTTCTGCGGCTACGAGGTAGGACTCCGCGCCGCCAATAATGGCCATGTTGATCTTGGATTTGAGCACCTGCTCGACCTCGGACTTGATGCGTAGAGCAGAAGCGATTCCGTCGGCAGAGTTAATGGTCAACGCGAGAACGAGGTCGCCGGAAACGACCCTCTTCAGGTATGCTGCCTCGGAGTATGCTTCGGGCTCCTTGTCAGACTTGCCCGCGTCCAAGAGCTTCTTGCGCAACGCGCCAAAGGCTTCGCTGTAGCTCTTGTCGGCCATGCGGGCGTTCAAATCCAGGGTGTAGTGGACGGCGGCATCTTCTGCGAACACGGCGCCCCTTTCAAGGCTTGTGAGCGCAGAAGTCACAAAGCCGACACTTGTGCCGTGGTGCGTTTTTAGACCATTGAACTTGGGGGCGGATATGGCCCGAGTCACGCCATATCTTGCGCCGACACGAAGCTTCTTGTTAGCAAGCTGGAGGCCGTCGACGGCACGAGTGAACTTTTCCTTGGTGTCGCCATTGTCTGTCGAGTCTTCCGCATCGATTGCGTTGAGCCCAATGGTGCCGCCGACGCCGGTGAAGGAGTGAGTGAGGTAGCCGTTGTTGAGTTGGATAACCTTTACGCCGGCAGCGGTGGCGGCTTCAAATTCAGACTTGCAAGTTCCGATGCAGGTAATCTTTCCGTTGGATACGGCGACATTGGATGGCGTGCCGTCGGTAGTGTATGCGTCGTCGCCGGAGAGGAGGACCTTGGTGACGCCTTGGAAGAGTGCATCAGCGACTCGAGTCGGCTCAGACACAATGTCGGCGAGAGTGGCATCGGGGCCAATGGGGCCTTGAATCGGCTTGTCTAGGTACACAGGCGCCGTAAACTGGGCGGTACCATCAATCCAAACTTGCACGGGCGTGGCTCCGACGCTGAGAGGGTCGCTGTCCCAGACCACGACATCGGCATCATATCCAGGCTTGACTTTGCCCAAGCGCCGGCCCATGCCCAATTCATCCGCCGGGGCAGTCGTGACACTGGCGAGAGCAGCGTGATATGGCAACCCGTAGTGGTAGGCCTTGGCAGCTTCGAAGAGGACGTGCTGCGCGTTTAGAACGGGATTGTCGCTCACATACACGGGTGTCAGTCCTGCTTGGTATAACATCTTGCCGGCAAACTCGGAGCCAACATATGCTTCCATCTTGTAGTACATGTTGTCGGCAAAGAGGGCCGAAGCAGGCGGTCGGCCACCCCAGGTGCGCTTCAAGATCTGCTCAACCCATTAGTACTTTTTCGCTATTCATCGTTGAGGCCAATAGCCACTTGTCCACCCTCCTGAGCCGCGGAACATGAAGCTGGGCAAATAATTATTGCCTTGAGTTCTAATACAAAACAAAGCAGGTCCGGGTACTCGCCTCGGGAACAAGAAAAGTCTGATGAGCATGGTGAAAGGTCCGCACAGCAAATTTGAATTCATTGGTATGGTCGACCATGGCTTCCAAATCAGGCACAGTGTAGCAATGAGTGTTGATATGAACTTGGCCGCGCATAGCAGCGCCCAGAGACTCCCACGCAAGCTCTTCCGGGAGATAGCTATCCATGTCATCAACACCCACAGCCTCCGCCTTGTCGCACCAGTCATCCTGCTTTTGGACCAAGTCGCGCGCCTTCTCAAATGCGCGGCGGAACTCGAAGCTTTCGCCCAAGCGGCTAGTCATGCGGCCACTGGAAGAGAATGACTGCTTCGGATTCTCACCGCACGCCATCTTCATGTAACGCCAGTGACGCTCGGGGTCGGCTAACATGTCTGTAGCACTGAATTCGTTGCGGCCCTCCTTCTTGCCAACGGCATGCTTGATCAAGTAAGCCTCGCCACCAATATTGTTGCTCGATCCCGGCAGGATGAGCGAAGTAGTCACACCCCCGGACTTGATCACCTCAATCTGGGGGTCAAAGACGTAGAGTCCGTCGATGGCACGGGTCCATGGCGTAACGGGGCTAGAGAACTCATTACCATCAGAGTTGCCGCGGAGGCCAGGCATGGAGTAGACGCCCGCATGGCTGTGCATGTCAATGATGCCGCTTGTGAGAAGTCGGCCCTCTGCATTGTAAAACTGGGTATCCTTGGGCAGCGAGCTCGGCGAGATATGCCGCTCGACCTTTTTGACGAGGCCGTACTCCAAGTAGACGTCACCCTTGGTCCACTCCCAGCCCTTGCCCGCCCGAGCATCCTCGCTGCTGGTGCCCTCGACAGGCTCGCCAATCCAAATGGTAGCGTTTTTGATGAGCGTGGGCTTGCCACCGTCGACGAACCTGGCGCTCTTGTCACGACCCAAGCCAATGGGGTCCCGCGGCTTGTGCCGCAGCGTTTTGCACGTGGCCAGATTCTCGTTCAACTTTTCGGCAGAGAGTTTAACGGAATGGCGGTTGGAGAGCCAGATCTGCTTCCATTGCGCCAGGACAAGGAGCGACAAGCATGCGAGAGCAAAGAACTTGATGGCTCTGCTGCGACGAAGGCCGCGTCGGCCCCGAAGCCTGCCGCCATTGTTGCCAAGCGGAAGGTGCGACTCGGCCGAGACTTGCGGGGGCGAGTATGGCGTGTAGGGAGGAAGGCGACTTTTTTCGTCCATGGCTATGTCAGCTTTGATGTCGAAGGCCGGGATGCAAATATGAGATGGATGATAGGAAAGGGTCGATGATTGCGGCCGTTGCTCACATCAATAACGTGAGAAGACGCGATAACCCTCTGGTCGGTTGGAACTTGGCACACAGAGGCATGGCCCCACAGGAGCTTCCAAGCGGTCGAGCTGGCCGGGCAACTTTGGGGCGCGGTAACACCAGGGCTGCAGGGCAAAGCAAAGGGGTGCTGTACCCGGCCGGCGTGGTCCAGGCAGCCAGCTTCAACTTGGTAGGCGGCCTACCCTACAAGGTACCAACCCTTGGCAAAAATCGTTAACGATCCATCACAATATAGCAGGTGTCTCATTGCTACTCTGCCCGACGGCAGCCTCACGTCTCTTAAGCTGCTGGAGGACGCATGTCCGATGCTTGCGACCGATGGCCCAAAGCACCCTGCTTGTTGTTGGTGGGTTCCATCTGCAGCCGAATATGCGCATGTCAGACTGGTAATTAAACATCAATTGATACTATTTTTGCAGCTGCGCCTGCTGTGGAGCAGCGCCCTCAGGGCAAGTTGTGCTGTGCTGTTGAAGGCGACCGTTGACGTGCATCAAGATGTGGCGTGATCCTGCCGCCTTGTCAGGTTTATACTCTTGCCATGGACACGGCCTCTTGGTCCTCCCTCTTGCCAGGTACAAATGGGACGAGATTCTCAGTGCAACTAGCATCTCTGCCTCAAAGTAATCCTTCCTTAATTCCACTCACAATCGTCGACGAATATCATGCCAAAATGCGAGCTACCACTGTCTTTGTCACCATCTTTGTCAGCTTGTGCCTGGCCCATCCGTTGGCAGACGCGTCTGGAGATAAATGTCCTCCAATGGGTGTAAGTACCGCCGGCCTTTGGGTGCTTTTTGAGACCGTCAAGTGTCGGGCGTTCTGATTAACATGTTAACTACAAGGGTTGTGTGCGAATGGCCGGCTGTACATATGAGAAGGATGGCTGTGTTTACTGCAAGCTTGAATGCCAAGTTGGGCGGAAATTCATGTGACCATTCGCAGTTCCAATGCGAAGGTGGCAAAATGTAGCCTGCACGCCAGACTATCTGATCCGCCGGGAATCATGGGGAGACGCGTAACATGTATATTGCTATTCCTCACTAGTAGGTAATGTGCATAACTCCGTACCCAGGTAGTTGGCTATTATTTCCATTGTCGCCTGCCCCTCGTTTGGGTGAATACATGTTGATAGGGTATCGCAGCATTGGGTATTAGTGAATAAGAGCATAGATTATATAAGTTGTTGTGAAATGGTAAAAAAGTAAGTATAATTAATGGGAAACGGCATTATGGTTGTAAAGGTGGCCAAAATGAACCACCACCCACATGGCAAATGATCCATTCAAAAATTCATCTAGCCCACGCTCCAGCGTTACTTGTCCTTTGATAGGTTACTGCTATTTAGGGAGCTGAGATATGCCAATTCCTCAGAAGTTGACAATTGACTGTAATCCTTTGATTGGGAGGCGAACTAAAAACAAGAAGACTGAGGGACACCGGATTTGAACCGGTAACCTTCGGGAGGTTCGTAATGAAGCTGAACTGGAATCCGACGCGCTACCGTTGCGCCAGCCCCCCACTGGTGACAGATGGGCTATTATTGTCCTATATATAGCAGGCGCTTATATTCGGGGAAACTCGCACCGCTGTTGGAGAAACGGCAGAGACTCCACCGACAAATTTTCACATTTGACTCTTGGGCACGCTGTTAACAGAACGAACGCAACGTACTGGCAGCCAACAATGTCGCAATAGATATATTGCGCAAATGGCAAAACAATTCTGGCGACTGAACGCGACAGTCTATGGAGAGAGCGAGTATCTACCGTCGCGCATACGGGGGAATTGAATCACAGCAGATAGTACAAGTGTCGTAGAGTATATTGACACATGAAAGATGGCCACTGGCTACGCCAATTTTTTTTGTCAGACGGTAAGGCAGAGCGTCAAAGGGCCCTTTGCAGGCGCCTTTCGAGATCACCATCACCTTCACATGGCCTCGCATGCAGGTCTTTTCCATCGGGTTTCGGGAGGAACTTTGGCGGTATTCCTTCTTGGGGTCATTTCGAGTAGAGAATGGACAGTCGGTCTGCGGATATTCGTTGAAGCAGCCTTGGGCCGAAAGACTTCCTCCCATCGCACAAGTCCAAGTATTCTCCCCAAATTTCTATTCTAATGTTTCAAACAATTACACAATACCCGTAGTTACTGTGTCTTGCAACCTGTGCGGGCCATTTGTGTTGGCCGTTTCTCAGAGTGGTGGTATGCATATGCAGTTTCTCAACGCCGTTTTCTACGGCGGCGAGAGCATGTACACGAGACATCTAGAATTCCTTGCCTTATTAATTCTGGGAAAAAAAAAGGATGAGTGTGTAAATGCTCCATGTTAGCTGACCGGGGGGGATCCGGAATGAATATCCCAGAGAACAAGCGAATCACTGACAGTTTAGATGTTGTTTGTTAAACCAACTGCTTCTTGTGCCAAGTCTTTCAAACGGGTTATCTATTAGCCTTTCAATGGACAGTGTGCCAGGAAACTTCGTGTGATCCAAAAGAAAAAAAAAAAAAAAAAAAAAATAGGAAGGGCAGCGGAGGTCATCGCCCGCCGAAATGTTCAAGGGCACACACCACGAGTGTCAATTATTTGCCGTGGGGGTTTGGATTCAACCACGGGTCATTCAATAGCTTCGCCCCTGTGGCACGCTCCTCAGGTACCCAGAATAGCATTTTCCTTAAAAATTCGCGTAATCGTTCGGCATGACTCTCTTCACGTATACATTCTGGCAGCTCCTGGTCTGGTTTTCGCCTACTGGGTATCCAATCAACGTGTACATAGGAGCCTAATTCGCCCAGTTAATAACTGTTGTCACACCATCAAGATTACACTCACCATCTTTGGCCAAAAACGGCCCACCGTAATGGCGCAATAAATAGCACACTATAAGTCTTGAAAAGGAAGTGGCCAAAATATGTACCTCTGCGTATCATGTCCCGGCCAAACTGTCGAGGAGGTGCCCCAACCGGTTTTCACATCTAGTTGATACCTATTCTCTAACATATCACCCGGGTTTGCGGGATAAAAGCGCCTGGAATTATAGCCAGGGACTCCCTCTCCATCGACAGAAAGCTCTCGTGGAAGCACTTCATATGGTGAAGGGAACGACTGTGACAAAAGGGGCCGGCACCGGGGGCCGGACGTTAACGATGAGAAACATTCCCAGGGCATGCTCAATTCGCAGCGGTGGACGCGAAGTTGAGGACGCGGGAGATAAAAACAGGAAGAAGAGGAGGAAAATGAGTTAAACGATTTCGCATGGCGACGTTGGCAGCACGAGGGGCCGTGGTGAGTAGAGTGTAAAAACGGGTACCCGTGGGCACCCGTGGGTATCTAAGTTTTTCTTAGGTTATTTATAGGCTACCTATTTTATTATATAGGTAATTTAGGTATACTATAAGTAATCTAATATAAAGATAATTACCTTATAAATACCTATAAACGTATAATAATATAATATAATAATATAAATTAATTTTTTTAAATTAATTATAATAATTAATTATAATAATTAATATTAACTCTTTAATATTTAATTATATTTATAATAAGTCTTAAGTTTAAAGTATAAAGTAAGTTATATAAGTCTTATTTAAGTACCTAAAAACACTTAATATTTTTAATAAATAATTATAAGTATCTTATTTTCCCTTATAAATTTATTTAAGTCTTTTTTCCTTACCTATTACCTACCTAAAGCCCACGGGTAAGCAACTCACACGGGTACCCATGGACCTTTACACCCTAGTGGTGAGCTGTCGGAAGGACCACTCCTTTTTTGAGCTAGCAGCGGCGTCTTGGCTGTTGGCGAACAGACTACCATGCGGAACCCTAACCCTGAAACCTCTAACCACCCTTGCCGCAGATATTGCAGCATTGATGCCAATCCCTTGCTCCATCGTCAATATCGCCAACCGCGGCACCCTCAGTCCAGTCGTCGGGTGCCAGTGCAAAACAGTGAACCCCCCCCGGAGGATGCATTCATGGCTGCACATGTAAGGATTGTATCTGAGGCACCACGGTGTGTTATGCAATATGTACTTTGTGCGCCCCGGCTCGTGAGGATTGATCTCGCAGGCGAGGATGGCTTCGTGGGCGAAACATTGCATTGATTGCAACATGGATCCATGGTGAACCGTGAAAGTTACCATCTAGAAAACCACACCAATGGCTCCTCTCCTTGAGCAATCCTCAACATCATTTTGTCTCCACGGCTCGAGCCCCGCAATTCCCCGCACGATCATCCATAATCCATTTGATGCCGGTGCTGCTTGATTCTCCAATATTCATCGCATTGCCTTCTTCATCAATTGCCCGCCAGAACCCGCTCATTCGGAAACCACAATGTCCGAAGCCGACACCAAGCGCGTCAAGACCGCCAATGAAGCTCCCTATGAGCTCATCTACTGGCCCAACATTCCCGGACGCGGCGAGTTTGTCCGCCTTTTATTTGAGGAAGCTGGGGTTTCATACATTGATACCGCCAAATCGGGCGGAGATGCTGTCCCGACGGTTCTCAAACTCATGGATGCTGACAACAAAGGTGATGAAATGAACCCTCCATCTTTTGCTTGTCCAGCCCTCAAACACGGCGACTTGCGTCTCTCCCAAACACCAAACATTCTTCTCTATCTCGGACCCAAGCTTGGCCTGGCTCCCACCAAAGGCAACGGCATCTACCACATCAATCAAATAGCCTTGACCATCTTGGACGGCTTCTCCAATGAGGTCCACGACACACACCACCCTGTAGCTGTGTCGGATTACTACGAGGCCCAGAAGCCCGAAGCCAAGAGGCGAGCCAAGTCGTTTATTGAGGAGCGGCTTCCCAAGTTCCTTGCCTATATCCAGCGCGTACTGGATGGGAAGGCGAGCGGAGATGGCCCGTGGTTGTACGGCGGGAAGCTGACATATGCCGATTTGGTGCTTTTTCAGGTTTGTTCCCATTCCTAGCAAAAGGCGGCTCAGAAGGAGAGACTGACGTAAATAACAGGGCATTGATGGAACGGAATTCGCCTTCCCCAAGACTATGAAGAAGATGCGAGATTCCGGAAAATACGACGGTGTTTTCAAGCTCTACGAGGTTGTCAAGGAACGACCCAACATCAAGGCATATCTTGCCAGTGATCGCCGCTCCCAGTATTCTGACGGTATTTGGAGGCACTATCCCGAACTGGAGGAGGACTAGCCACCTATTGTTGCAGGATGGTGCACACGAGTCCACAGGCAAATCTCTAGACTAGTTCAAAGCATAATTCGAGACCCGACCGGACGTGCTGTCTCCCTCTTTGGCCATGGTTTACAGGTATATAAAATTCGTGGCTACGGTTCGAGAACGGCTCACTGTTCTGCTGGTTCTTTTGCATCGTAAATCATAAAGGCGACAGCACCCCTGCCTTTGCCGCCATTTAGCACATCGCCTAATTTACCGAAATCCAAGCGTTTGATATAAAGGGAGACCTACCCGATAACTCATCGAATACATTTCAATACTAAAGTCGTTCGCCGTGTCAATAAGAATCTCGAGCCCATGACTCAACCGTGACATATACCATTTCCTCCACACCAATTTGCGGACATGTACCGCCCGTTCATGAAATGCGCTCCCTCACTCGCAAGCCATGACGCAGTGCAGCGCCAGCTGGCAGATCATACGAGTCTCGAAGGGTGAAGAAGCCTGCAAGCCAGATGGCGTATATCGGAACCGTGCTTGGGCAGGCAAGTCGGGCCAAGGCTACACCACAGCAGAAATACTATTCGAGGGAACATTTGAAGATTGGGTGCAAAAGCTTGTGACCGTTGACGTTGCACGACTAGTCCTGTTTTGGAAGGGGCAACCCCGCCACGTCAGCTAGGCGTCATCAATGAACGCCAACTAGCGTGACGTCAAAGACACGTCTGGTGCAGCCATCGAACATTCAACATTGAACCAGACTTGGGCTTCTTTAAATGGGCCCATCGCCGTATCGACACATCCCGCTTGTCAAAAGTAGCATTTCAAGACATGTGAGACACCATTTAATACGACTGCAACTTCTTGGGGTGCAGCGTTGTCAACCCATTAACAATCTCGCTCCTACCAAGTAAGGCTCCTAGGCATCGCTAGTCATCATGGATTGCTTTGGATTGTGCGGCTCGAATGACGACGACGTGGAGCGACAGCCATTGCTGCCTCAATACAATGAAGACACGACGCGGCAAGCTCGACTCCATGAGAAGCTTCACACATACCAAATGCTTCGAGCCATGTCGAATGGCTACATGCCCTCGAATGAACAAGTCATCATTCACCTGCGAGCCCTGTTAAGTGCAGCGATTCTGAACCCTTCGGAGCAGAGCGCCCTCAGCAACTCAGGCCGCGCACTCATACGAACAACGCGACTATGGCTGCAGCATTTCATCGATCTGCTCGAGCGAAAAAACTCAAAGGATCAAATCCAGGATTTCATCTGGTACTTGTCCAAGGCGAGGCTGGATGTTGATGTGGCAAATGTGAGGAAAAACATGTCCAAAAGCAAAGCCCGTGCGGATGTTTCTGCAACAGTCGAGAGTCTGCGCACCGTCGTGTCCCTAGCCATGTTGAACAGCGACTTTCGAGTATTTGTTGCCGACTTGGCTACTATTGCAAGACAAGTTCTCCGAGACACCGCCGTCGCGTTGGGAGACGTATCGAAAGAGGTTGGCGATAAGCTTAACACTCCGGGTGAGGACATGGAAGCTCTGAAGAAGACGGACCAAGACGCGCAGGAGCCTGCATCTTCGGAACATGTAAAGGACCAAGCAAAGGATGTCGGTGAAACTGCCTACAAGGAAGCCGTACACGTCGGAGAGGAAGCCTATACAAGCTTTTCCGAGCATATGAATAAGGAAGCAAAAGACATCCTGGTGAACCGCCTCCGGAACGCCGTCAAGAATCTCCGGAAGAGGACTGACTACTCTGAGTCTCTGTCAACGCTGTCTGGACTTTTGCAGAAATATCTCAAAATATACCTGTCGGTGGGATCGGATGCAGTCGAGACACTAGAGGGCAGCATTCAAGACAGTAGCCAAGCTGAGAATGCCGTCCACAACTTTTGGCTCTTTGTTTCCTCCTTTGGTGACCGCGAAAGCTGGGACAAGGTCAGAGCATCATTTTCGGCCTTTGCTGAGCACAATAGAACGGATGAAAACCTAGATGAATTTGTGAGCCAGTTTGTCAACCTGGTCCAAGACATGCTCTCCAAGCCCGAGTTTTTCGACAACGTGGACGAAAGACTTGATGAATTACGTGATCGACTCAAGGAGCTCACGTCCGGGTCGTCAATGGGCGAGGATGCTAACAATCTCCTCCGAAGCGTCCAACACGCCCTTCAATCCACGACTGAGGACAAGGACGTGAAAAACATGACCTCGACCTCGCTACGCCTCGTCCACATATTGTTCCCGTCAGGAGAGATGGGAAACTCGGATCTCGTAAGAGATTGCATCAACACTTTCATACCATTGCTGGTTCAGGCGGTGCAGTACATTCCAATTCCGCGGCTGGAAGTCTCGACGCCAGCACTGGACTTGCTAATGGAGAATCTCATCCTGGAGCCGGGACATACGGTCAACAACAGCTCGTTCCTGCCGTATAATTTACAATTCTCAACCCGTAACGACATTGACATTACAAAATCTCAATTTGGAACTAGTTCCTCGGTGTTTTCTCTGGCCACCATCAAACTGGCCGGCATGTCCATTTCAGCCGATGACCTCGGATACTGGCTCCGGTTGCATTCGGGCCTCCTTCGTTTCGTCGACGAAGGCCTGACCAGCTTCCACCTCGACGAGCGCGGCATAGACGTCACCCTGAACGTGGAAATTGGGCGACAGCGATTAGAGGAGCTTGTCACCCTGCGCAGCGTGCATGTCAAGGTCCACCATCTGGAGTACACTCTCAGCAAGTCCAAGTTCTCTTGTATCGCGTGGCTCCTTAAGCCGTTTATCCGACCCCTTCTGCGGAAAGTGCTCGAGAAGCAGATATCGTCGGCGATTGATGAGGGAATAAGGACTCTGAACCGAGAGCTGCTGTTTGCGCGAGAAAGGCTTCGCGCAACTCGTGTGTGCAACCCCAGCGATCTCTGGACCTTTGTTCGCGCAGTGGCTGCTCGTCTGGCGCCGCCGCCTGATGCCGACATTCACACCCGAGTCGGCGTCGAGCCTGGGAAAGGCGTGTTCCGAGGGCGGTACACGCCGGGGAGCCTGGTCAAGGTGTGGGAGGAGGAGGCTCGCGACGCAGAGCAGAATATTTTTGAGTATCGCCAAGATGGCTGGCGTAATGGTATATTTGATGTACAGACCACCCCGGTGTCGTAGGGCGAAATAAGACGGAAAGGACCGCTTGCAATGGGTATGAAATGCGCCAACACAAGGAGAGTTTCTCGCGCTGGAGACGAAATACTTAGACTGTCTGCTGGAGGAAACTCACCCTTTGCCCTACAGCAGTATGACCAGAATAGGCAATACATACGCTGTAGATATTATATGTACCGTGCCGAGTGGGCTGGGGGAACACCTTTGTCCAGTAACCCATGATAATCGAGTGTCGTGGCATACGGCTATTTGCCTGTTCGCTTTCATCGTGATTGGTGTAGCACCTGGCCGCAACGGCTACGCCGAAAACCCAGGATGAAGAAGGCCCAGTTTCAGTCAAGATAGCCCCCTTGAGCCTGTTGGGTATATCAGCTCATACGATATCACGTGTAGTACACGACTCAAAGACACTGCTGCGTCATCATGAGCCGGAATTCGAGCGGCCGTCAAAGTCGATCCGTCAGGCTGCGCATGGTCCCGGAGAGGACGATGCAAACGCTGGGTATGTGCCCGATGCCTGTTGCAGTTCTACTCATTGTGTCAGGAAGACACTACAGGGAGTGTCTTTGTGGGAGAATAATGGCGATGCGAACTTGGCCTATTGCTTGCGAGATGCTTGGAGTGTGATGCTGCTACAAAATGAATGCAATCTTTATTGTAAATATGTCGGTATTGAGACGGGGCGCGTGAAAAGCAAGGCCTACCGTGTCATGTTGGCTGGAATGGTAGAGCACTCGGGCTGCCAACAATGGCTTGTCAGGTTCAGGAAAATGTTTTCCTGCCTTCCTTCATGACAGTCGACCTTGGGAGAGCGCCTCTCCCCGCCCAAATAATCCAAAAAGCTGCCAGGTTGGGTGATACTCAACCTGTGGTTATGCCAACTGTCCCATTCAGCCGCAGAGCATGAAGTGTGTAGGCAAATCTGAACAGTTCGACCCAGCTGATGGGGCAACTGAGACAAGTATACGGAGTATATCTCTGCACTCTACCTTCTCGCAGCGAGACAAGAATCCGCTGCTTGGCTTCTTCACATACCACACGCTTGTGATATGTTGGCGATATCCTGCCCAGTGTGGGCTCAAACAGGCTCTCTGACAAGGCTCATCCAGTGTCGTGGAATACTTGTTGATTATCCGAGTACGGATCAAGATTTATAGCCTGGCGCCTGAGAAGCATGACCGGCAAGGGAACCAAGCTGGGGAGAAACTATCAGTATGCCTATCCAGAGTTGATTTTCTCCTCCTTGGCATATTTACTATTAATGTATATATGTTTCCTAGTGGTCACGCCGCATCGTAGGGCAACACTGCATCTATTATATTTATGCAATGTCTCATAGCACCAGCCACCAATCTCGCCGGCTTACCTTGCGTGCTGCTTTCCCGCGCTTTTATCGGTTCTGAACAAGGAAATGGGAACTTTGGGAACGCGGCGTTTTCAGCTCATGTCAATGGAAACTCCTAGACGGCAGAATTGCCGTCGAGTCGTAGCTGCTATAGGAGCAGAAATAACTCATCATCATCCCACCACTCCGGGGGGCGGGAGCTGTCCAGGTCACTGAGACACTCATTTTCAAAATAACTGCCTTTGTGCACAAGGTTAATACAAGAACCACTAATTACTGTTCCAACTCACATCTAGGCCTGATTTTGTGCGTCTTTGCGTCCGTGCTGCAGGACAGCCTCCTGTTTACCAACCTGTTTGGAGGGGCGCAGAATAACGAAGGCCTCGGATTCCTGGGGCTTTGCTTCAACTGAAATTACATTGCCGGGCTGAGTTCGCCGCTGTGGTACCCGTTGTTCACGCTCGTGAATAGCCTGACGGGGTACTTGCTTTGTATTGTGCTCTTTATGGGCATCTACTACGGGAATGTCTGGGAATCAATCAAGTTTCCCCTCCTGTCGCAGTTGCTCTACCACGGCTCGTCAAACGCGACCAACTTCGTGCAGTACAACCTCACCGCCATTCTCAACTCTGACAACACCATCAACAGCACTCTGGTTGCTGAGCAGGGGCTTCCTTACCTATCGGGCTCATACGTGCTCCGCCTCATCACTACCAATGTTGGCATCACCGCTGCCATCGTCCACTTGCTGCTGTGGAATTACAACGACCTCAAAGACGGCTGGGCGTTTTTGCGGCCATCTAGCTTACGAAAGCTCTTCCAGGCCTCGACATACTTCTCCTGGAGGAGGTATGGCTCCGGGGACGAGGCGGCGCGACGACAAAGGGTGATTGACGACAAGGACATAGATCCGCACTACAAGTTGATGATGCAAAACGGGTACGTCGAGGTACCAAACTGGTGGTATGGGCTCGTACTCGTGCTGTCTTTTGCTATCGGCATCATCACACTTTACAAGATCGGCTCAACGCTGCCCTGGTGGGCATTCTTCGTATCCAATCTCTTCTCGGCTCACTTCATCCTCTTTTTCGGTGCCCAAATGGGTCTGACCGGGTTTCAATTCGACCAGCAGCCCGTTATTTTGATGCTAGGCGGTTATCTACTGCCGGGGAAGCCGCTTGCAAACATGTACTTTACCGTGTTCGGCTTCAACGGCATCCAGCAAGGCCAGTGGCTTCTGAGGGATCTGAAGCTGGCCCAGTTGGCCCATCTGCCGCCGAAGGCGACATTTGCGGCCCAAATGCTCGGTACCGTCATAGGGGCCATCATGGACTACGTGATAATGGTCAGCATTGTAGATAATCAGACGCCAGCGCTTCTGTCCAAAAACGGCACAAACGTCTGGTCTGGCCAGAATGTGCAGGCATACAGCACTCTCGCTGTAGCGCGGTCGATGGCAAAGGACATGTTTTCGGTAGGAAGCCGCTATCAATGGGTCATTCTCTCATACTTGATCGGATTTCTGGCACCTCTTGTTAGGACTGGGTTGTAAGCAGAGTGACTACAGAGATGGTTAAGGATGTCTCGCGATACACTAGCCACTAGGTAGGGTCGTGTGAATGACGATATTAATCTCTGAACCTCCTACTATCTAAGATTACAAAGTTGTCTTTGAATACCTCGCCGTGCCCTCGTAACTAGGGCACAGCTAGGGCTTAGGTTTAATCTGCCACCACTGTAATCAAAGAACTAGGCCGCCTAAGCACAGCAAGAAAGTAACTAGCTTATAGGCTATCTAACTAACGTCCCATTAAAAGGCTATCCTATTAAGAGGCTATCCTATTAAGAGGCTATCCTATTAAGAGGCTATCCTATTAAGAGGCTATCCTATTAAGAGGCTATCCTATTAAGAGGCTATCCTATTAAGAGGCTATCCTATTAAGAGGCTATCCTATTAAGAGGCTATCCTATTAAGAGGCTATCCTATTAAGAGGCTATCCTATTAAGAGGCTATCCTATTAAGAGGCTATCCTATTAAGAGGCTATCCTATTAAGAGGCTATCCTATTAAGAGGCTATCCTATTAAGAGGCTATCCTATTAAGAGGCTATCCTATTAAGAGGCTATCCTATTAAGAGGCTATCCTATTAAGAGGCTATCCTATTAAGAGGCTATCCTATTAAGAGGCTATCCTATTAAGAGGCTATCCTATTAAGAGGCTATCCTATTAAGAGGCTATCCTATTAAGAGGCTATCCTATTAAGAGGCTATCCTATTAAGAGGCTATCCTATTAAGAGGCTATCCTATTAAGAGGCTATCCTATTAAGAGGCTATCCTATTAAGAGGCTATCCTATTAAGAGGCTATCCTATTAAGAGGCTATCCTATTAAGAGGCTATCCTATTAAGAGGCTATCCTATTAAGAGGCTATCCTATTAAGAGGCTATCCTATTAAGAGGCTATCCTATTAAGAGGCTATCCTATTAAGAGGCTATCCTATTAAGAGGCTATCCTATTAAGAGGCTATCCTATTAAGAGGCTATCCTATTAAGAGGCTATCCTATTAAGAGGCTATCCTATTAAGAGGCTATCCTATTAAGAGGCTATCCTATTAAGAGGCTATCCTATTAAGAGGCTATCCTATTAAGAGGCTATCCTATTAAGAGGCTATCCTATTAAGAGGCTATCCTATTAAGAGGCTATCCTATTAAGAGGCTATCCTATTAAGAGGCTATCCTATTAAGAGGCTATCCTATTAAGAGGCTATCCTATTAAGAGGCTATCCTATTAAGAGGCTATCCTATTAAGAGGCTATCCTATTAAGAGGCTATCCTATTAAGAGGCTATCCTATTAAGAGGCTATCCTATTAAGAGGCTATCCTATTAAGAGGCTATCCTATTAAGAGGCTATCCTATTAAGAGGCTATCCTATTAAGAGGCTATCCTATTAAGAGGCTATCCTATTAAGAGGCTATCCTATTAAGAGGCTATCCTATTAAGAGGCTATCCTATTAAGAGGCTATCCTATTAAGAGGCTATCCTATTAAGAGGCTATCCTATTAAGAGGCTATCCTATTAAGAGGCTATCCTATTAAGAGGCTATCCTATTAAGAGGCTATCCTATTAAGAGGCTATCCTATTAAGAGGCTATCCTATTAAGAGGCTATCCTATTAAGAGGCTATCCTATTAAGAGGCTATCCTATTAAGAGGCTATCCTATTAAGAGGCTATCCTATTAAGAGGCTATCCTATTAAGAGGCTATCCTATTAAGAGGCTATCCTATTAAGAGGCTATCCTATTAAGAGGCTATCCTATTAAGAGGCTATCCTATTAAGAGGCTATCCTATTAAGAGGCTATCCTATTAAGAGGCTATCCTATTAAGAGGCTATCCTATTAAGAGGCTATCCTATTAAGAGGCTATCCTATTAAGAGGCTATCCTATTAAGAGGCTATCCTATTAAGAGGCTATCCTATTAAGAGGCTATCCTATTAAGAGGCTATCCTATTAAGAGGCTATCCTATTAAGAGGCTATCCTATTAAGAGGCTATCCTATTAAGAGGCTATCCTATTAAGAGGCTATCCTATTAAGAGGCTATCCTATTAAGAGGCTATCCTATTAAGAGGCTATCCTATTAAGAGGCTATCCTATTAAGAGGCTATCCTATTAAGAGGCTATCCTATTAAGAGGCTATCCTATTAAGAGGCTATCCTATTAAGAGGCTATCCTATTAAGAGGCTATCCTATTAAGAGGCTATCCTATTAAGAGGCTATCCTATTAAGAGGCTATCCTATTAAGAGGCTATCCTATTAAGAGGCTATCCTATTAAGAGGCTATCCTATTAAGAGGCTATCCTATTAAGAGGCTATCCTATTAAGAGGCTATCCTATTAAGAGGCTATCCTATTAAGAGGCTATCCTATTAAGAGGCTATCCTATTAAGAGGCTATCCTATTAAGAGGCTATCCTATTAAGAGGCTATCCTATTAAGAGGCTATCCTATTAAGAGGCTATCCTATTAAGAGGCTATCCTATTAAGAGGCTATCCTATTAAGAGGCTATCCTATTAAGAGGCTATCCTATTAAGAGGCTATCCTATTAAGAGGCTATCCTATTAAGAGGCTATCCTATTAAGAGGCTATCCTATTAAGAGGCTATCCTATTAAGAGGCTATCCTATTAAGAGGCTATCCTATTAAGAGGCTATCCTATTAAGAGGCTATCCTATTAAGAGGCTATCCTATTAAGAGGCTATCCTATTAAGAGGCTATCCTATTAAGAGGCTATCCTATTAAGAGGCTATCCTATTAAGAGGCTATCCTATTAAGAGGCTATCCTATTAAGAGGCTATCCTATTAAGAGGCTATCCTATTAAGAGGCTATCCTATTAAGAGGCTATCCTATTAAGAGGCTATCCTATTAAGAGGCTATCCTATTAAGAGGCTATCCTATTAAGAGGCTATCCTATTAAGAGGCTATCCTATTAAGAGGCTATCCTATTAAGAGGCTATCCTATTAAGAGGCTATCCTATTAAGAGGCTATCCTATTAAGAGGCTATCCTATTAAGAGGCTATCCTATTAAGAGGCTATCCTATTAAGAGGCTATCCTATTAAGAGGCTATCCTATTAAGAGGCTATCCTATTAAGAGGCTATCCTATTAAGAGGCTATCCTATTAAGAGGCTATCCTATTAAGAGGCTATCCTATTAAGAGGCTATCCTATTAAGAGGCTATCCTATTAAGAGGCTATCCTATTAAGAGGCTATCCTATTAAGAGGCTATCCTATTAAGAGGCTATCCTATTAAGAGGCTATCCTATTAAGAGGCTATCCTATTAAGAGGCTATCCTATTAAGAGGCTATCCTATTAAGAGGCTATCCTATTAAGAGGCTATCCTATTAAGAGGCTATCCTATTAAGAGGCTATCCTATTAAGAGGCTATCCTATTAAGAGGCTATCCTATTAAGAGGCTATCCTATTAAGAGGCTATCCTATTAAGAGGCTATCCTATTAAGAGGCTATCCTATTAAGAGGCTATCCTATTAAGAGGCTATCCTATTAAGAGGCTATCCTATTAAGAGGCTATCCTATTAAGAGGCTATCCTATTAAGAGGCTATCCTATTAAGAGGCTATCCTATTAAGAGGCTATCCTATTAAGAGGCTATCCTATTAAGAGGCTATCCTATTAAGAGGCTATCCTATTAAGAGGCTATCCTATTAAGAGGCTATCCTATTAAGAGGCTATCCTATTAAGAGGCTATCCTATTAAGAGGCTATCCTATTAAGAGGCTATCCTATTAAGAGGCTATCCTATTAAGAGGCTATCCTATTAAGAGGCTATCCTATTAAGAGGCTATCCTATTAAGAGGCTATCCTATTAAGAGGCTATCCTATTAAGAGGCTATCCTATTAAGAGGCTATCCTATTAAGAGGCTATCCTATTAAGAGGCTATCCTATTAAGAGGCTATCCTATTAAGAGGCTATCCTATTAAGAGGCTATCCTATTAAGAGGCTATCCTATTAAGAGGCTATCCTATTAAGAGGCTATCCTATTAAGAGGCTATCCTATTAAGAGGCTATCCTATTAAGAGGCTATCCTATTAAGAGGCTATCCTATTAAGAGGCTATCCTATTAAGAGGCTATCCTATTAAGAGGCTATCCTATTAAGAGGCTATCCTATTAAGAGGCTATCCTATTAAGAGGCTATCCTATTAAGAGGCTATCCTATTAAGAGGCTATCCTATTAAGAGGCTATCCTATTAAGAGGCTATCCTATTAAGAGGCTATCCTATTAAGAGGCTATCCTATTAAGAGGCTATCCTATTAAGAGGCTATCCTATTAAGAGGCTATCCTATTAAGAGGCTATCCTATTAAGAGGCTATCCTATTAAGAGGCTATCCTATTAAGAGGCTATCCTATTAAGAGGCTATCCTATTAAGAGGCTATCCTATTAAGAGGCTATCCTATTAAGAGGCTATCCTATTAAGAGGCTATCCTATTAAGAGGCTATCCTATTAAGAGGCTATCCTATTAAGAGGCTATCCTATTAAGAGGCTATCCTATTAAGAGGCTATCCTATTAAGAGGCTATCCTATTAAGAGGCTATCCTATTAAGAGGCTATCCTATTAAGAGGCTATCCTATTAAGAGGCTATCCTATTAAGAGGCTATCCTATTAAGAGGCTATCCTATTAAGAGGCTATCCTATTAAGAGGCTATCCTATTAAGAGGCTATCCTATTAAGAGGCTATCCTATTAAGAGGCTATCCTATTAAGAGGCTATCCTATTAAGAGGCTATCCTATTAAGAGGCTATCCTATTAAGAGGCTATCCTATTAAGAGGCTATCCTATTAAGAGGCTATCCTATTAAGAGGCTATCCTATTAAGAGGCTATCCTATTAAGAGGCTATCCTATTAAGAGGCTATCCTATTAAGAGGCTATCCTATTAAGAGGCTATCCTATTAAGAGGCTATCCTATTAAGAGGCTATCCTATTAAGAGGCTATCCTATTAAGAGGCTATCCTATTAAGAGGCTATCCTATTAAGA